CAATCTGTGGCTGTTTGTGTAGAGATCAATTCGTCCTTCTCATTTTTCACTACTGTCATACCGCCCTTTTTTGGCACACACTGAACCAGGCTGACCCAATTGTTGTCAGAAATGGGGAATATGATTCCCCCATCTAACCACTTAATCAATTCTTTCTTCACCACTTCTTTCATGTTGGGGTTCACCCTTCTTTGATGTTCTCTGGAAGGTTTGTGCCCATCTTCCAGTAAAATCTTATGCATACAGAAGGCCCGGTTGATACCCTTAATGTCTGCAATGGTCCAACTAATTGCAGTCTTGCACTCCGTTAGTACCTGCAAAAGTTGTTCTGCCTGCACATCTAACAAACTAGATGAGATAATAACATGTAAAGTTGAGTTAGGTCCTAAGAAGGCATACCTGAGATGGGGTGGTAGTGGCTTCAGTTCCAACTTTGGCGGCTCTTCTATCGATGGCTTAGTTGGAGGAGTTTTTCTTTCCTCTAAGTGCAAAGGCTCAAATTCGAGCTCCCTTCTCCAAAAACCTTGGCCTTCAAGAGCAAGTAGCCACTCCGCCAAGTCTTCTCCATTTGCTTCATCTAAGTTAATGAGACAGGCTGCTAGAGGGTCTTTAGTGTTCAATGTCTCATCTTCCTCCTCCAAAATTACATCCACGACATCTATTAGAGAGCAATTAGCAAATACACTTGGTCGCCGCATAGATTTCTGCACGTTGAATGTTATCTCTTCATCATTTAATCTCATTTTGAGCTCTCCAGTTTCACAGTCAATTAGAGCTCTCCCAGTGGCCAAGAATGGTCTTCCCAAAATTATGGGAATTTCCTTGACAACCCGACAGTCAAGAATGACAAAATCTGCTGGGAACACAAACTTTCCAACCTGTACTAATACATCATCAAGAATACCAGAGGGCCTCTTCACTGTCCGGTCAGCCAGCTGTAGTAATATGGACGTGGGTCTAGCTCTCCCAATGCCTAACCTTTTGTAGATAGTCAGGGGCATCAGGTTTATGCTTGCCCCCAAATCACACAGTGCCTTAGCAAACGCATAGTTGCCTATTGTGCATGGGATTGTGGAACTCCCTGGGTCAGACAGCTTCTCAGCTATGGGTCTTGTCACAACAGCACTACATGTCTGAGTCAGTGTAACCGTGGCCAAGTCTTGAAAGTCGAACTTACGAGACATCAAGTCCTTCATCATCTTTTCATAACCAGGCATTTCCTTTAAGGCGTCAATCAATGGAATGTTTACCTGAATTTGCTTCAACATCTCCAAGAATTTCTTGTACTGCTCATCTTTCTGATACTTGGCCAATCTCTGTGGGAATGGTGCTGGAGGTCGCTTCTTCCTTGTGATTTGATTTTTTTCTTGCTTAGGCACTACTTCAACTGTCGTTTCTTATGCTACCTCAGTCTCTTTTGCAACCTCTTTTTCTTTGTTTGCGTTCTCTTGTGCATGTTGTACTGTCACTTCTATTAACTCTGTTGATTCATCTATCTCAATGGGTACTGGCACAAGTGTTTCAGAAGGTTGGGTTTCACGAGCCATTTCTTGCTCCAGATCTAGGTCTCTACCATTTTGTAGACTCACCGCCATAAGTTGTTTCGGGCCCTGCTCTTTTGGATTGATTTGTGTGTCTGTAGGTAACGTCCCTTGGGGATGATTATTTAAACCATTAAAATCTATTCTAATTGCACCTCAATACCTTTTATCGCTGATTCATGTGAGTCTACTCTCTCTGTTAATTTTCCAGTGGTCCCTATCAGTTGTTGCAGCATTCTGTTGCTGTTATTCAGCATTCCCTCAAGTTTGGCAAACCCATCATCTTGTCTCACAGTCTGCTGCTGTTGAGGTTGTTGATAATCCAGCTGCTGATTTTGCTGGTTATAACCTTGTTGCCTTTGGTAAGGCACCAGTTGACCCTGTGGTCGCACAGCCCCAAGATTGTTGTTGTTGTTGTACTGCTGCTGAGCTGGTCTATATTGTTGATTCTGCTGACCCCAATTTTGACCACCTTGACTCTGTCCCCTATAGTTGGCCACATAGTTCATATTTTCCTGATATTGCTGGTTGTCACCTTCCGCACTCCACGAGCAAACATATGGTTGGTTAATGCATGGTGTACATAAAACCCCATTAGTTGCATTAACTATGTGTACCTGCTGGTTCTGGCCTGATTCATCAATTTTTTTGGTGAGGATACTCATTTGTGTCACTAGAGTGGCCATATTTTCAGCTATGGAGTTAGTTGGGTCTAAAGCCACCGAGTAAACTACAGGAGTGATTGGAGAGTCTCTTGTCATCCATCCTGAGTTTTGGGCCATCTTGTCAAGTAGGATCTTGTTTTCTCTGAATGTTTTTCTCAAAAATACTTCACTGCTGAAGCATCAACATTGGCCTTTAAGCTATCTGCCAATCCCATGTAAAACCTCTGCCCCAACATCTGCTCCGGAATGCCATGATGTGGACACTTAACCAGCAGACCCTTGAACCTCTCCCACGTTTCTTGTAATGTTTCTGTCTGAAGCTCAATATCTCATCAATTTGTTGAGCAGTCTTATTGGGTGGGTATAATTTGTTCACAAATTGCTTGACTAATTCCTCCTAAGTAGTGATGGAGTTTATGGGAAGTGAATTAAGCCAAGTCCGAGCCGCTCCCGTCACTGAGAATGGGAACAACAACAACCTTATTGCTTCCGGTGTCACATTATGTTGCCTTTGTGTGGCACATATCGATAAGAAATTCTTCAGATGCTGCTGAGGATCTTCAACGTATGACCCTGAGAACAGTCCCTTGTTCTGCAACAAATGTAGCATGTTATTTGTGATTTGAAATGATTCCGCTTGTATCTGAGGGACTGCAATTGCATTTGCCAGATTGTCGGCGGTGGGTTGTGCCCAGTCATACAATGCTGCTTCTGGCACAAGAGGTACCACACCCTGATTGTTCGGGTCATTCGCATTGTTTCTGTTGTTTGGATTTTCTACTCCGTCATCCATGTCTGGTTCGATTTGCTCTGTTGAGTTCTATTGTTGTTTGCCTTTCTTGTTTGCACGATTCAGTGCCTTGAAAACTTTCTCAGGATCTGATAATGCTTCGAACAATTCACCAGTTCTTGAGGAGTTTCTAGTCATGCACCTGTAACACCCAAGACTACAAACGTTAGAATTTTAATGTATTTAGTTTAAAATGAAGAAAATTGACTACACTAAGAATTCTAACACTTCTTTTAGCTGCAATTATTACACCGTTAATTCTCCTACAACGACGCCAAAATTTGATCACGCCCAACTATTCCTTATAAAAAGGACAAAGCGGTCGTTGCAAATATATTCCGGTTAACAAGTCCGGAGTCGAATCCGACAGGGAATTAACCTATTAAACACAGCTATTGGACTCACACAAATTCTCGTAATCAATCTTCATAAATATTTTAGTAATAAATTATATGTTTACTAACTAATAATATTACGTAATAAAAATGCAAATAATAAGAACTAACTACGAACGGGTTGTAGACAAGAATTGGAATGATCTAAGGTTCTGATTTCCCCTATTGTCGGAATCCTTTCCGCTACGTTTCCTATAAATTTTCCAAAGTCTTATCTATCGATCATGAGCACTCTGACTGTCGTAACTCTCTGCAGATTAATTACAACAATATACTAGACATATTCTCCCGAGTTACGCTAGCTAGCCTTAAGTACAACTCACTTAGATGGCACCAAGGTTTCGTTATACCTAATCCCACCTTTAAACCCTTCATATTGATCCCTCATATACGTTAGGAGTGATGTTGTTCAATAACTACCTAAATATGCACTCTCTCCTGAGTAATACATACTAAGTAGGAACAGTTAATTGAGGGCCCTTCAATCAACAGCAACAAGCATATAGTTGAACAAATAGAGAGAATACTCTGGCAAATCTATATTAATGTAACAAGAAAATCATCCTCCAATAGGTTCCATCAAAACCCTAGATTAGGAATTTAGCTACTCATACTCATAGTAACAATATCCAAAGTAATTTGCATAATTGAATTATAAAGTAAGGATAAAGGGATGTAGAAATCAATGATTCTAACTCCCAAGTAGTGTTCCACGAGCTATTCTTGCCTCCTGTTGCAAAAGTCATTCAAAGTGGCATTTTTGGGTCTATTTATATGTTTAAGACAAGACCTAAACGTGTAGGTCAAATCCTAGTCAAGTCGGGAAACGAATTAAGTCTTCAAAACTCGGACTGGACCTCGCCCTAGGCCTCGCGTCGCCAGCCTCAGCATGGCCTTTGCCTTGCAGCGCCAGCCTAACGCCAGCCTCATCCCGGCCTTTGGCTGGCCTTGCCAGGCTAAAGCCTGGTTAAGGCTGGCCTTCGCCAGGGTTCTCCTTTTCACTGTTCTCGAGCACACTTTTAACGTTTAAGTATCCCTTTTGCACTACTTTCATCTCCAATTCACCTACACATAAAATATACTCCATTACGCGCAGATAACGTGTAATTTATCATTAAAGCATGTAAAATGCAAGGCACATAATGTGCTAAACCATGAATTATAGCCACACATCATCTTCCCTAATGTTTTTATTAGATAACCCGATCTAGTCCCAAATGTTATATAAATATAGTTAAGCTATATATTGATGGGGTAAACTTTTTTTTATACTATTCTTTATTTAATTTTTGATAGTAGATTAGTTATTATTTTTATCGGTTATCGATTAACTCTTATGATCTATCACTTGATGCACACATTTTCAAGTTTAATTTTTAGGCATAGACGGTGAAAACTATCTACACAATCAGGATTCTTATTACTAGGAATTACAAAAAAAAAAAAAAAAAAAAATTTGATAAATATTAATTAATAATTAAGTAAAAACTAATAATTAACTTGGCATCACAAATTAAAATTCATTGATAGTGGAAAAAAGTCATAGTATACAAGTTAACTCAATTACAATATTAAAATGAGTGTATATTCTATCTTAAAAAAAAAAATACTATCCACTCTCTCTCTCCCACACGTGGACGTTTTCTCCCTTTCTGAGAGCCTCAAGAATTCTCTTTGAACAGACTTGTTTGGTTCAGTAGCAGGCTGTTTAAATTAAGCCACGTGTATACTATTAACTAATCATAAATCTTTCATATTTAGAAGTGTAATTTATTTAGCATTTGATTCATGGGTCAACAGCAATCCAAAGAAGAATTACTGTATCAACAAGTCATTGAAGGAAACATTGAAGCTATCAAAGCTATTCACAACAATGGTGCAAGTCTTGAGGTATATAAATTCAATCATTTACCTTAATTTACTTGAAATATTTAACTATTTATCAACACCCTTTTTGGTAAATATGAAAAAGATTCAATCTTTTTGGACATACCATAAGATTTTTTTATTTTGTTTTTTTACTGGTTTAAGTCTTGAGGTATAGAAATTTACTCATGTACCAAAATTTACTTGGAGAATTTAACTTATTAGCAACACCCTTGTTGGTGAATATGAAAAAGATTCAATTTTTAGAAGATGCCATAATTAGGTTTTGTCACTGGTAAAAGTTTGAAGATATTACAAATGTAGCCAATTTACTTGAAGAATTAGTAACTTTTTATCAACACTCTTTTTGGTTAATGTGAAAATTTTCGACTTTAGTCTATTGGAAACAGCCTCTCTATCCTCACAAGTTAGGGGTAAGGTCTAGGTACACACTACCCTCCCCAGACCCCACGGTGTGGGATAATAGTGGGTATGTTGTTGTTGTTGTTGAGGTGTATAAGTAAAAAATTTACAGGTGCAGTTCTAGAGGTATACAAATTCTATGCACCAATTTATTCGAATATTTTAGCTCTGCATCGACACCCATTTGGCGAACATAAAAGAGATGACTTTTGGAGGTTATATGCAATAGTGGAGTCACTATTTTCATTAAGGGGTGTCAAAATTGAAGAAGTAAATACACGAATAAATCAAGAGCACTCAATACATAGTATATATACATAAAAAAGTAATTTTTGCCTATAGTGTAATTATTCGGCGAATGGGTGTCAATTGACACCCTTGGATCTATGTGGCTCCACCTCTGGTTATATGAGTAAAATGTATGTACTAATTGTAGTTTTGTGCCCCCATGAATCAGTGGATCGATAAAGAAGGAAAGACACCATTGATTGTAGCGTGCATGAAACCGAATGGCTTGAATGTTGCAAAAGCTTTAGTTGAGCTTGGAGCTAACGTCAATGCTTACCGGCCAGGTATGCTTTTCTCTGCTAATCCTAATCATATAATTTTTAGAGTCGTCACCAGAGATGGTCCCAGGATTTTACGTCAGAAGGTTTGAACCACGGCCCTCATTACTTCGTGGTAATAGGTGTGAACTTAGTACAGGTGTATATTTTGACACTTTCTCAACTAGATATATATAGTTCAAGCCCCTGCTCTCACTGCTAAAGCTCTACATCTGCACCACCGGTTCCTGCTTACAGCTCAGCATAGCTAGTTAAAATGTATGGATAATTACATTAGAGAATATAGTTAATACGGGATTAAGAAGCTATCTTGCGCTAAGCTTGGGAGTTACAGCTTCGTGCTAATATGAAGTCAATTAATATAGGATTAGAGAATATAGTTAATACAGGATTAAGAAGCTACCTTGCGCTAAGCTTGGGACGTACAACTTCTCGCTAATGGATAATTATATTAGAGAATATAGTAATACAGAATTGAGAAGCTATCTTGCATTAAGCGTGTGGGAGTTACAACTTCACACTAATGGAATCTCATCATATTTGTCAATTATCGAATGAAGTGAATCAGTGATCTGGCTTGATATTGTGATAACCAAATCTACATTCTAACTCCTAATTTTGTTTTCAGGATATCATGCTGGAACTGCATTACATCATGCAGCTAAGAGAGGTTTGGATGATACAGTTCGATTACTTCTTTCCTATGGGGGTACATATTTATAGTTTTGCAAAGTGAATGTGCTTTCTCCTTTTGCTCGGTAGATGTTTCCCGGACTGCTTTCCTGGATGATTTAGTATCAGAGCTACATAGTTTTCAACTGCTCTAATGTATTGATCTAATTTACTTCTAAATTTTTGCACTAGCAAATCCGTTGATCAAGAATGATGGTTGCCAAACTCCACTCGAAGTTGCTCGAGCAAAGGGTTTTAGCAATGTTGTTCGTACTATTGAGGTATAATATTTGGTATTAGTCTTATGCTTTAATTACAGTAACACTGAATTCACGTCATTATTTTTATTTTTCCTGCCCTATTCTTAATTTCGACTGTGTGTTTGCAAATTCATTTATTCTGGCTTTGCTTTCACTTTTAGAGACAAATCTGCATTTTCTCGGGCTGGATGAGGGAGTTCTATGGTCCAGGGTTTCTTGAAGCTTTAGCTCCTCAATTGTTATCTAGAAAAATGTCAGTATGATTCTGACTTAGTTTTTCTATAATTGCCCCTTGTTTTCGCTTTGAATCCATTATTATGCTGTAAGTTTCAAAAAAAATTGTGCTTGCTGACCAATGATTAGAACTGCAGTTGGGTTGTAGTAATACCTTGCGGTATAGCTGATCCTACGAAGCCTATTAAATTGGAGCTGGCGATTTACTCATCCTTAGAGGTAAATAAATCATTATTGGCCGACATTAGTTCTTTACAAATTCCATTGGCAATATTGCTAGGTACCTCTCTTTGAGTTTGTAGTCGTACCATCTTTCTGAAAATTGTCAAGATGACATATATCAGGTTAGGATATGAGGTTATTGCTGTGGATGATTTAACGAGTTATACACAATACTAAAGGAGTAGGCGTAGCTCTTGTTATGAAAAACCTGGACCTAAGTGTAGGTACATTGTGTCTTTGCGGCGTTTGAGCAGAATCCATATATGAGCCAGCATGCCCGTTTATACAAAATAGGTAGCTTCAAGTGAATTCAGAATGATTTTACTGGGTTCTAAACCGTGCGTCATTGGCCCGAGATTTCTTGGCTATCAAAAAAAGAATCTCTACTATCTTTTCTCAATGAGGTAAAAAATTTATTGACTTGTTGGGACTGTCTCCTACTGTATAAGTGGAAAACAAAGAGTAGAGAATTTAACAGGAGTGCGATTCTCCATAAACGGAAGTGTGATTCGCTACAAATAGCACCCAATCATCGGTACTACATGGATTGTCATAGGTGCACAAATATTTACAGAAGGATCCCTTTATTTCTACAGAAGAGCCATTTACCCCTTAAAAAGCCCTCCTATTTTCTTTTCTCCAGATTGTTCTCATATGATCCTCAGTTGTGTGGATAAGCCTCTTGCCGTTAGCCAAATAAGGCAATAAGCATTCCCTATGCTCTAGGCGTTATACTGAGTAGAAAGTAACGATATTCTCCTTCCTCAGTATATTCTGTGGTCGAGTTACTTTAACTGAAAAGAAGTCCATTTCCCCGTTCATACCACTTCAAAAGTGCTCTGGTTCGTCGGTGAAATCTTCTGCTTATACAATAGTGTATTCAGGTTTTGAAAATTTCTGACTCCCCAATCCTGCAAATTTCTCCTAAACCTCAAGTGCCAACAACTCTCCTTCCTATATACACTATTCACTCCATGCTCAAATATGCTTGATTGATACTTCATTGACGCAACTATTACTACTACTACTACTATTCTCAATCCTGAACTAGCTAGAGTCGGCTGACAATTCAATGAAGTGTTCTTGATTTTCTTTTCTCTTCTATTAAATTGGCGGATTTCCTGAAATTGTGTTTTGATGTACAGGACGCCCAGCCTCGTAATGTTATCGCCTTATGGAAGGCTAACGTTGAAGAGATAAGGTGGCAACATTCAGATCCTGTGCTGACAATATTTGACAATACCAGCAGTAATACTCTTTTTCTGAAATTCTATTCTGTAGTTGATCTTGTTAAATGGAGAATTAAGAAAAAGCCTTTTCCTCTTATCCACATTTAACAATGAGCCGTCAATTTACATGCCTCAAGAGAAATTCGTCTACAAGACTAAGCTTTTGTGGACAACCTTTTTATTGGTTTGAGATACTGATGTGCTTATTGCTTCGAGAAAATGACAAAATTGTCCCTTATGTTTGAGGGTAGGTTTAAACTTCAAAGTAGTCCCTTAAGTATGCACTGAGCAGTTTTGGTCCTTTAAATTTGTCGAAAAGTTAACACTTTTGATCTCCGCAAATATTTGTTGAACTCTGTAGGTTTATTTGAAGGACTGGAATTAATATGTAGATATCATGCTCAGGAATAGATGAAGCTGCATATTATAATAAAAATTTGAAGGTTTCAGACTTCTGTTGCAAAATGCAAATTCTGAATTACTCTTTCTACTAAATGTTAAAATATAGATTGTGATTGTTATTCTCCTAGAGAAACTTTTCTTAATTGCGACCAAAAAGTTGACTTAGTTTCCTTAATGTTATTTCATCCACAGAACTCCTTTCTGGATAAGCTTTTAATGGTAGTTCTTTCATTTTGCTTTTTTCACATCAGACACTCGATATAAGTTTACATCAATGAGCGATTCCGAGCAGCAACAACTTCAATTGTTACACAAAGCATGTAATGCTGCAACAGAGGTAATTACCACCTCCAAACTGAAATCATACTTTTTACCAACTTTGTATCTGTTGCTTGTATTCCCGACTCAAAAAATAATTGAGTCAAACTACCCTGCGTTTGTTCATCAGATGAGTTTGTACGATGCATATATATTACATGTCATGTTTGAAACATATGCATTATGCTTTATTGCTTTACTTCACTTGGATAAGATTGATGGACCAATTAAAATTGCATATGCTTTATTTAGTCTTGCAATTTTCTTACGAGAAGCTGATGGCATGCAGCTTTCATTCTAAAACTGCAGTGGTTTGTTGGATATAGAAAGTGTACTTGAGTAGAGAAATTAAGTAAATGTTTAAGTAAAAACTGGTGATAATGAAGATGACTACGGGTATAAATACCAACTATGAACTGATAAAATTGTCTTGTGTGTTATGTATTCCAGTTCAACTTTAACATTAAAGATGTAAATATTGACTTTGTAAAATTCTTTTCTTCATCGATAAGCCGGAATATTATGCGTTAGTTAGATAAATAGTATTCTTGAATCATATATTTGGTGTTTATTGACACTGTGAAACAGTGGCCAGCTAAATATCTAACATTGTATGACGCGTAACATCAGCTGAATTTTCTTTAAACATCGTATTCATCTCTTGTATGGTTCCTTTTCCTGAGGTGATATGCATGTTTTTCTGTTTATTTTAAGGAAATCCAAATTTATCCCTCCACTATACAAAATATCTTGGTTTTACCATCTGGTCAATACCTTGTCGTTAGCAAATCGTCTTGTGTTTGCTCGAAACTTTAACAGAGCTCCAACATGGACTGGGTGGATTCCACGTGTCAAAACACTGCGAGAAATGTCCAAATTTTACCCCTATAACTTTGACTATGGTTTAAAATTACCCTCTGTTATACTCCGGGTTGGAGCTCCGTCACGGGGTCAAGGAAAAATACGAGACAATTTGGGCAAGGGTATGACTGCCCCCAAAGTGTAACGGAGGGTAAAATTAAGATATTCGGTATAGTAATGAGGTACTTTTGATCCTTTTTATTTTATGATGCACTAAGAGGATAGAGCGGAACCACCTCTGGGGCTTGACCACATTTTAGCATTTCAGGTTCTGCCTCCCCGCTTATCACAAAATAGCCAAACTACAGTGCAACAATCTGAAACTGCTGCACAAGCAATGGAATTAGCAATTGGAATCAATGCTTCTATTCATTCTGCTAAAGAAAATAAAGTTCTCCATCGTCATGGACAAAGCTCTGGTGTAAAAAATGAAAATGATTGGTGTAATACCACAGATGATACTGCGCACAACGGATGGGGTTCACTTGTTAGGGCCCAGCCTACATCTGAAATTACTTACCATGGGTGGACGGATGACCACATTAAGGTTCAAGAAAATGGATGGGGAAATACTGCAGATGTATCCAGTCAAAGACAACACAACGCACTTCCTAGATCAACCTCCACTGAACTAAGCTGCAGTGGATGGAATGATGGACCTGCCCTAGAAGAGTACAATGGCTGGGCTGTGCCCCAGCCTCGGCCGGGACATAGAGATGCCTCCGCCGAAGTTCATTATCAAGGATGGGGAAAAACTGCAAAGGACAGTGCACTTCCTTCAATAAGCAACACAACATCCTCAGGAGTCAGTAGCTGTGAAACGATGGACAAGACAAACAATGCACCTGAATATACGCCCATTAACTATCTTGTTGAAAATACTGAAACTCAAGAGGGAAATCCTACTTTTGATGTTGTGGCCCCTTCAGCTCCACCAGTTCCAGATGAGGTTGTACATGAAGAGGCGGTTCATTATCCGGCCATAGATCTTAGTCCGTTGAACTTGTCGATTCCTCCTGGAGAGCAAGCAGCTTCTGTTACAACTGAAAGGGAAAATAAACATGAGCCTGCATTGTGCATAATATGTTGGGAAGCTTCTGTTGAAGGAGCTTGTGTACCTTGTGGTCACATGATTGGCTGCATGCAGTGTTTGAACCAGATTAATTCCAAGAAAGGCGAGTGCCCTGTTTGTCGAGTAAAGATTGACCATGTTATAAAGCTCTACAGTGTTTGAGGTATAAATATTGTTTCCTGCCTATGAGTTAGAAACCTGTGAATTTTAAGTGCCAGTTTGAATACCATACTTGCTATAAAAGTTTCATGTTTGGGTTTAGAAAACACATAAGTCACCCCTCAAACTTGTCCGGAAAAGTTATATACACACTCTTAACCGTGGCGAAACTGCCCGCCATGATAATATTGATGGTGTGTTATTGCCCGGAAGTAGAGGAGAACCCCCCCCCCCCCCCAAAGGAGATATCCGTGTTGAATTGTTATTATGTCAGTGTCGTACACTATACCCTTCTCAGACCTCACGGTGTGGGATAATGCTGGGTATGTTGTTGTTGTATTAGTACTCCCAGTCCCAGTTGTAAAGTATAAGAAACTTAAAATATGTATTAGGCCTAAGGAGTCGAAAGTGATTTCAACAATTTATTTCATATGAAATGGTTATGATTTTATTTAAGTTAGTATTCTATATAAGTTATTTAATGTGTATATCAGGGATTTCAATTGCACTGTACATGTTTTTGCCAAAGGCTTGTCCCACCTCTTGAAGGGAAAGTCGACGACACTTACTGAGTTATGCCAGTTGCCCCTTCCTTCTGGCTTCCTCTTCTTTATCTGTTTCAGGATGAGGTATAGCATGTCACGAGCAGATGAGCTAGTTCGACTTTTGCTCTCCAGTAGTTCGACAAGAGTGGGTTGCTCTAGTGGTGAGCACCCTACACTTCGAACCAAGAGGTTGTGAGTTCGAGTCGCCCCAAGAGCAAGGTGGGGAGTTCTTGGAGGGAGGGATGCCGGGGATCTATTGGAAACAGCCTCTCTACCCCAGGGTAAGGGTAAGGCCTGCGTATACACTACCCTCCCCAGACCCCACTGGTGTTGTTGTTGTTGTTGTATATTATGGTGAGGCTCCATTTTATGTTCGTGATAGCATTGTATCTTTTTTCTCTGTAGCAGCGGTTGTCCCGGTTATTTTATTTGTGTCATATAGGCTTCATATATATAGACAGTTGTGTTAGGTTGTAACTATAGTTACATACACTACATGTTCGAAAGAAACATCGATTATTTTTTATTTTCATTATTTATATAGGAACCCATAAACTTGTCCGGAGAAGTCATTTTGTATTATCATCATCACATCAATTGCCGTCATATAATTTATTTAGTGAATAAAGGAAACTTTTGGGGCATATTTGTGTTGCATGCAGATATTTTGGTAATGGTTGCCACGTGGAACCAACATTTGCTCCTTTTAGGGCGGATCTACCTTAGCCCAAGCGGTGTCACGTGATACCGCTTCGTCGAAAATCTTTAATAATTATTTGTATATAATTCAAATAAAGAAACAAGAAACCAATAAAAACAAATAAAGTGACAACACTTGTAACGAAGATCTCTGTGGCTTAACCGCTTATAAAAGTTCCTGTGTACGCCATTGCCTGCACTATAAGATGCACCTAAACAAGAAGAGCTAAAAACGAAGGAAATCAAGATGGAAAGAAAGATTGAGATAATCTCTAAAGAGTTAATCAATATGTATTGGCGGACGGACCCAGGATTTAACGTTTATGTGTTCGTGCAACAATATCAAGTAACTTTTCAATAGTAATTGGGATCATATTCAAACATTTATAAATATTTAGTGAATATTTCGAACACATTTACGTTGTTTGGACAAAAACTACTGGGTTCACGTGAACATTAAGCTGAGGTCCCTTTTCTCTAACTATAAATGCCAAGCTGAATGAAACAGTATAGTGTCTTTGTTCTTGCAACCCAATGTTATGTCACAAAGATTCTCTTCTTTGATGCTTCGTGGATAGCGACTGTTAAGGCCAGAGGCGGATGAAGAGTTGCAACACCGGGTTCAACTGAACCCAGTACTTTTAACGCAGAGCATAAATTTATGTGTAAAATATTACTAAAATTGTAACAAATAGTAGGTTTGAACCCATAATTTAAAATTACAACAGGTTCATGGCAAAAAACCTTCAAGATTGAACCCATAGAGCTTAAATCCGGCATCCGCCTCTGGTCAAGGCTACGGCTGTCAACGATAGTGTACTCGTGCCAACTAGTACACTATTGGAGTTTTGTTAAGTCCCACGTTTTTTGTACACATATTTTTTAAAATAGAAAAACTAAAATATATATTTACTCCAATTCCAAAAAATGGAATCCCGCGTTTTTCCTTAAGTTTTTTCTTCTTCTTTTTTTGCTCTACTTCTTTGTTAAAACCCTGTAGCTTAATTCTATATTATTTCACTAATATATATATATATATATATATATGCAAGACATTAAGTCAAGTGGCAGCTTAGAAAAAAACCATATGGCATAATTAGTTAATAATTATTTATTTAGTTAATAATCAGTTATTGATTTAGTTAGAATTTTAAAAAGTTACTGAAATTTATAAACCATTTATTTACGTTTAAGATAATAAATAAAGTTTTTAAGATAATGGAATAAATGTAGTTATTTTGATTTAAAGTTTTTGAATTTAATTCAACGTATCTATTATGCAGTTATCAAAAAGAGTTACGATAAGTTTATGTTTGATGTGGATTTAGATAAGAGAACGTGGTTAAAAAAAATAAAGGCAGTAGTTATCTTCATATCCTTGGGATAGACTATTTTTTTGAAAAAAAAAGGTAATAAGAAAAAATGGCGAGATAAAAGAGAGTAACTTAATATAAGTTGAGACAATTTATCACGTCCTATTTCCATTAATAACATTATGTTAAATACTAATACTTTTTATGTAAATTCATTCATAGCAGAGTTCTCATGAGAATGACACAGATGAAGACGCTAATATGTAGAAGATGGGCCTCCCAAAATTATATGGCAAGCAAATGACAAAAATGGTGAAAAGGAGTAAAGTAAAAATGAAGAGAAGGATGTCTATCCCTGTACGTACGAGGTATTAGTTATCAGTAAATTTTTGTCTACTTAATTATTATCCACAAGATTATCCTTACTGAGTACTATATTAGCATCCAATGCAGATCCGTAAAGCTACAATAAAAGCAAATTGACGAAAGCTTATTAAAATTTGAAATTTAAATTGAGAAATATAGGCGGTAAATG